CTACGTTTGTGAAATTTGCAATTCCACCTCCGATAATAAGTACTTTCCCTTCCGGATGTGGTATAGGATTACGAGTCATTAAATCAAGTATTGTCTTCGCATATTCATAAGTTTGAGTCTCAGTTGGAGCACCCGAATATTCACCATAATTAGCGAGCTCATGTGCGAATCCTAATGCGGCAATTGCATCGCTAAATTAAGGTAACGATAAATAATAATTTTAGTAAGTATCAATAAAAAAAATGAATATAAGAATACCTCTATAATCACACATTCGGGACCAGTAAATTTAGTGATTATAGAAAATTGTGATTATATAGCGATCTTTTTATATAGCATTACTACGCCACAAAGTGTGTTTATAGTAAATGTGATTATAGATCCGACTGTATATACATGTTTAATCATTTACCTGTAGACTACTGAAGCACCACCACCAGCAACCATGGTCCATATTCTTCCATCTTTGTTTAGAACTGTCAATTTCAAAGAAGCTCCTGTTTTTGCGTCCAACTCTTGTATGTTTGCTTCCTCCTTAGTCAACTCTCGACCAAAAGGTGCAGGAAATTCCATGGGTGGACCTTGATCCGCATGAGTTTTTGTTGTTGTCTCGTGACCAACAAAAATTCCAGTATTTTGTGAAGCTCGAGCAATTGCCCATTTTGGACCAGCTTCAAATTCTGCAGTTTGATCTAATTTCGCTGCCAAGTCCAAATAATATATTACTGGGGTTTCATCGTCAGATACAGTATCTAATACAACCAATGGATTGATTTCAAGATACGTGAAGTGTAAATCTACAAATACAGCATATAGACGGGAAATAAAGTGGATCAATGCATCTTTTTTGGCCTCAGGAACATTAACGAGCAATTTTTCCTTGATTTCTTGAGATGAAGGATAATCTTGATCAACAGGAACCAATAGCTTCAATGCTTTTGCGTCAACATCACCAACTTCGATACCACCTTCATGAGTAAACAAAATATAATCCCCGTCACGTACGGAATTAATATTTATATAATATTCAGTATGTGAAGGGTGAGGAATAAATGGTTCAACTAGAAAAGATTTTAACACTCCGTTCACGTTGTCTACCTAAAATCAATTATCATGGTCTACGTGAACAAGATAATTATAAAAAAAAAATAAATAAATAAAATAGATATCATTATTATTTAATTAACCTTTATTTCTTTGCCAGCTCTTTCAATAATCCATTCTTTAACCTGTTGCCAATCAGCATTCAATAATAATAATCCTGATTTTCCACGTGTTTT